ATGTTAGAAAAATATTTTCATAAAATAAAATTTATAAACTAGCTAATTTTAAAAATAAGATAACAAAATTAAAGTAAATACTAAATACCTTTAAACTCAAATTATGAATCATATTACTAAATTAAATTAAGTTTTTACTTTTGAGATTTTAAATTTTTTATTTAATAAAATCATAAATAATAATGATAATGATTGGATAAGATTCAAAATTTTAAGTGTTTAAATATTAAATGAAATTTAATTTAATGATATCGTTCCTTCCTTTTTCTTTTTATTTTTTTATAGAAATTGTTTGATGTTAAAAGATTTAAATTAAAAGTTTTATTTAATTTTTATAAAATTACTAATTATTACATTCAACTTTTAATTATGAATAAAATAAAAAAATTGAAATATTAACAATAAAAATTATAGAGTTTAGTGATTTAACAATTGGTGATAGATTCGACATAGTAATAATGAGCATAACTTCCGAGAACTACATGCTTACTTTGATAAGATGCTTTTCGTTTAAGGTAAAATAAATGAATTAGTAATGATACTTCATCTATTTAACATTTGTATTTATTGTGAATTTGGTTTATGATTCATTTTTATATTTAAAACTTATTTTGTAGTGAATTTAGTTTAAGATTGAGTTTTTTTATTATTATTATACTTGATGAACTTATCTTATATTATGTATTTTAATATTTGTTAGTTTAAATCTTAAAAATTATATGTATTTAATTAAATTTATTATTTGAAATGATCTAAATGATGATTTCCAAGTTGATCTTATGATGATTATTTTTTAAGAATAAAATAAAAATAATATACAATAATAAAATCTAATAATTATGTTAAAATTTTTTTTTTTAAGTTGATCAATTGAACCAATCAAGTGAATCAGTTCAATTGGTTCAATCAGACCTAGTAGCCAAACTAGATCAACCATAAGGTCGAACCCAAAAACATTGTTGTACTCTCAAAACCATTTCGACATACAACTATTTTTTTAATTTTAAAATAATATTTTAACTCAAAATTCAATCTAATTAATTATATCATTGTAAAAATAGATAATTTTTTATTTTTATTTTAATTATTTATCCTATTACTACATTTATTAAAGATAATAAAAGAAGTAAAAACATAGTAAATTTTTTATAAATTGTTATGAGTTTGTTATTTTACAATTTATACTATAAAATAAAAATATCTTAATGTAGAAAGGTCTTCAATATTGAGAGAATATCCCTTATTTAATAGGTTTGAATGGAGGGGAAGGGATATAAAAAAAAAATTATTTGGTTATAAAAAAATTGGAGGGAAATGAAAAAAATTTGTCTATTGAATTATAAAAAAAATTAAAAAGGAGAGGAGGAACAAATTTTTTTAATTTATTTTTTTAAAATTTAATTATTTATCTAAATGAGTAGAAAAAAAAAAAGAAAATGGAGGGAAAATTTTCTCTTCTCCTCTCTTTCTCACTATTTTATTTTTCTCAATTTAAATATAAAGTAAAGGTCAATATTTTAAAATATTAAATTATTTAACTTGTAAAATAATTTTTTAAATTGTTAATCTATAAAAAGAAAGTTTTTTTTTTTATATATAAAAATGAAAAGGTTTTAAATTTGGAGGGACTTTGTAGTTTTACATTTTTTTTCGAAATTTTTAATAATAATAATAATAATAATGTAACGAAATGAAATGAAACAGGAACAGACCCTACTCTCTTGTT